CCATATATGAGACAGAGAAGCAAACCAACTTGGCTTGTTGGTGTAATATACTGCTTTATTCTTCCTTCCTTTTCATTTACATTTCTCCTCCTCTCGTTTAGACTTTTGGTATGTGATGAAACAAACTACGAATTATTCTTTTCTCGTATTCAAAGTTACTGGTTGATTATTTTGGAAGAACAACTTTTGCAGAATGAAGAGAGTTGAAAGCCTAGTCTTTTATGGAATGGGCCTGGTTGGTAGTTTGTCAAACTGATGGGCTTTTATTGCCTAGGATAAATTTTGGGTAGATCTAGAGAGAGAGAGAGTCCAACAGATTACACCCTTCAGTTTAGTCAGGAATTTCATCAAACACTTGGAAGCTTTACTTTGTTTTTTTGTAGGGAGAATCTGTGGTTACTAGTTTCTACGGAAGGTTTGCACAATTTATAGCTTTAGAAATGAGTTAGATTCTATATCAATTGATGGAGTATAAACCCTTTGACGAAATTACCTACTCAGATTTTTTTTCTGTTGCAGGCTTTTTCTCATGGCGAAGACGCCATTGAATGCTGAGAAGTTTCTAAAGTGAGTTCATCATTTCAGTTATTCTGATTTTTGTGTCTATCAATGTAATCTATTGGATGTTAGTTGTTCCGTGTGGATTAACTTATAGAAGGTTTCCTCGAACCAGTTTATTTAATAATATTGATTTAGCCTATCTTCAGAAATTAGTACTTTACTAATATGATAGTTTCTTATTTATCATCTAAGCAATTTGACTGAAGAATTTATTCAAGGGCAGTGTTGAGGAATCACTCTATTTAATTATTTATGGATCAGAGTCTTCCAGGTGTAGTTCTGCTACTTCAGATAAACTACACCTGGTCTCTTTATCGCCGCCACCCATGATGATGGTTGGTTGATGATCTGACTAGTTGATGTTATCTGTTTAGGACTCCTTTTTATGTCTTTCTCCAGGGTGTTTCATGGTTGTTTTTAGAGCACTTGGAACAGTTTAGAGCTTTATAAATGTTAGTTAGACTGATCTTGTCATTGCTCATCTTCACACAATATAACCACTTTTCATGTTTGAAACTGCAAAACGTAGGGGTTTCTGCTAGTAGATGATTGGTCCATGGCATGTCCACCACAACATAACCTAGCCGAGCACGTATCTAGCTTTCCTGTCTTCCTCAACTACATCCTGTTGCAACTCTCCTATTGTCCTACTAGAACTTTATTAAGATTATAAGGAAAGGTAGAAAATGAAAGGATTTGTTTCAATTATAATTGGGTTTTTTCTCAATTTCGTTTGTTCAATCTGACATTCTGACCTTAAGATGGAGGTGCTCTTTCGCTTGACCACCTTGCTGCTGCTTATTATTTAACTTTCTATGCATCCTTTCAACAGCATTGTTCTACTGAATGATATGCAAATATAAACAGATTATAAAGATAAGACATGATCAGTTTTGGGTTTACTTCTTGATTTGTGTCTTTGGCCAATCCTTGTGGCTGTGGTTGGGGTGTTGGGAACCTTATAAGTCACCAATTCTACTCAAGAAATATATTTTATTGTAAAACACAACAATATGGCATGCTCTCCAAATTAAAATAGTTTTGAAATTTACGGTATCAAAGTTTGGTTTTTTGCTTAAACTGTATATGTTCTTTATGTTCTGAAAAAATGATGCAATTCTAATTTAATTCTTATAATCAGGAAAATAGGTTTGGGCAAGGAAGAACACTATTTCTGGAAGCAAATAGGAAAAGCTCTACTATGTACTTATACACTCTTTGGTGTGGCTTGGTGGTGGAATGAGACATCTCCGCTTGGGTGGATGACTCTTAAGCCAAAACCCAAGGTAGTTTCTGTTCTCTTATTTACAGTTCTTTTTGTTAATACAGTTCAAATATATTGATATGCACACATTTATACAATCAAGAGATTG